TCATAATATAGGTTTCAAGTGCTTTTCCTATCGAATCGAAAAATTAACTATTAGGTCATTAAAATCCGCCTCATTTCTCCTAAACATATTATAGCTTTGCGGAAGAATACCACCTGATCGTTCTTTTATTCAGGCGCTGACGCAGTGTTTGTGTTCCAACTTCGCAATCCTATCCACAACGGCCATGCACTTCTTATGCGTGACACAAGAGAGAAACTACTGAAGAAGTACCGTAATCCTATGTTGCTTCTTCATCCGTTGGGTATGTTTTCCGTTTGATTGCTCAACTCTTCCAAGACATTAGACCGTCTAGTAGGGCTGGAATTCATAAATGTCAGACATGAGAATCGTGACACCCCATGAGTGTCTCGTGGTTAGGAATGCCGCGTGTAAAAAATTGCAGAGGGTCATCTGGATGGAGATGTTGCATAACAATTATTAACTTATGAATGCTCTTGAAGTTCCACATTCATGATGACAAGCTCCGACTACGACAGTATATGGGGAAGGGGGAGGGCGTGAAACGGAAAAAACGAATTAGTGAAGTTTTTCCAACCAAACAGTCTTCCACTCTCCTCCCTTTCTTCCTGCGACCGAACCCCTCCCTCCTTGTGGGAATATATTCAACGTCCGTTTGTCTTGCTGAGAACAGCGGTCACAGATGAATGGGATGAGAGGGCGTGTTCGGTTCCATGTTTTATCTGATGAACTAAGTTGGTTAAAGGCAGTTGGCACGATGGTTTCCTACTCGGCCTAAAACGCTAGTAGGGCGCAAGTATAGTGGCGAAAAGAGTATAGTGGGAAATGGCGAAAGAACGGAGTGAAACGGTCAAAATCCTGAAGAAAAAGCCTCCGTTCTCAGTGACTTGTAAATCGATTTCGGACGAGTTTCCCGTAGGCATCTTACCAATCACCGCTACATACGGCTGCATATGTGTACCCATGTATGCATGCAGCATCACGGCCGCTTAGGTCTCACCATCCCGCTACGAATATACGGTGCGTATGTGTAACCATAATTGAGGCATGCCGCCGTTCCATAGATCCCTTTTCTATTTGCTCAGAAATGAATAATACAAGCGACAGGAACGAGTCGTACTTGTGGGGGGGGGGGGGTTGGCGTTTGGGACGATGGAGGTGTGGCGGGATTAGTAAGTCCTATAAGGACTTCTCGAGGAACGCGGGCGCAGCCTGACCAGATGTTCGTCGGAATTCTGTCTGCAGGAGTATTGTATCTAGTCGTCTTGGGGATTATACGTGACCAATGCTTTAAGGCTAGTATAAACACATATAGTTTTGATGCCAGGAAGATTCTCGTCAAAATCTATTTGTGAATTAAAATGTTCAAACTTTAGGCGGATGGACGAAAAACGATGATGTTCCGTTATCAGTTCGAATGCGTCAGCATGAGGCAGTGATTGCTGAAGGTGTCCTGGATCCCTCATGGACCGTACTGTCCATCTTTCCCATCACCGATGCTGTATGCAGGACCTACAGAAGTGCAATGGCACGCAAGGTGGGAAGCTTTAACATCTACATAATTTTGAGTGACTTAACGGTCAGGAGGAATGCAGCAAATTGCAGACGCTAGAACTGCTTTTGCAGTACATGTGAAGAACCACTGGGAGATAGTTCAAGTCTCGAAACCTCTCCACGTCGTTGAAATATGGGCTTTCCTGCTTTAGTGTTTCTCGTCATTCTTTCTCGTCTGTCGTTTGTCCACTGGGAAACTCCTTCATGTCTTTCATGCCCCCGTTTCTTGGGAGCTCTCTTTCACAGTAATTACGTCTGACAGCACAAAAAAACCATAGGAACTTCCGTTGTTGGTGGCGCCTGCGCCTCCTAGCGCGCTTGAGTAGAAGGTCGAAATCAATCTCATTTTTCCTATAAGAGTAAATCCGTTTATTTCTAGCATTTCCCAGTTTTAGAGCTCGAATTGCTGCCGGTGTGCACACGTACATTGTCGGAAGGGATCCAGCAGGTATTCAGCATCCGGACACTGGTGATTACCTCTACGAGCCAACGCATGGCGCCAAGGTGCGGTGATACTATCAACTTACCTTAGAATAGTCTTATATGGAAATACATTTGAACATTTTTGACCCTGTAACTCT